CTCTGACCGTAATATTTGTACGTTAGTTTGAACTACACAAAAAAGTTAGTTTAAAAAAAATGTCTTCATCCCTTTTTATCAAGTCAATGCTGATTTTCTCTTCCTTAAAGATGAATCTCTATTCACCTGATGTGGTTTGGCAAGAACAACCACCAGCACATAGCGAACAGTACTTCACTTATTATTACCCTGAAACTGTCTTGATCCTTTACAGGAGGACCCATCTTTTTGGGTAGTGAGTATTAAAATAGTTAAAATGTAAAGTGAGGGCTGCCGGATAGCTCAGTTGTTGGAGCTGCCTAGTAAACCGATTTGAATCCCGAACCTGTCAACCATTACAGGCAATGTCCTCTCTTCTGTCTCCCCCTTGCAATATATATCTCAAATAAAGAGATTGTTATGCAAGGAAAAGTTTTTCCTGATAGATCTCTGTATCTCTGAGATAAGCAGTAGTTGGGAATAAAAACCGTTGAACTGCAGGTTTCCAGACGGGTTGGGCTTAGTTCAACCATTTTCATTGAGATTGTTAACATTTAATTAAAAAAAGTGAACTGTAAGATTTGTTGGTTGGTTTGAACTACACCAAAAAGGTGATGTTAAATAAAAAAATGTGTTCATCACTTGTTATCAAGTCAATGCTGATTTTCTCTTCCTTGTAGAATAGACAAATCTCTATTCACCTAAAGTGTTTTGGCAAGAACAACCACCTGGTGGTTGCACATGGTGAAGGGTACTTCTGATGAAAAGGTCCAGCAGTTTCAGAGAAACGACATCCCTGAGTACAGCGAGGCTAACTGTTTCTTCACCAATGGTGGTTTTAAGTACTCTCCCCTCCAGCCTCCAGTGATGCAGAGCCAGTCGCTGCTTTACCCCAAAGCAACAATTTGTGGCAGGAAACAGCCAGCTGGTTCCCTGTGGAGAACCACATGCTGGAGCAGCAGACAGAAGCAGAAGCACCAACCATTATGTGAAGAGACACATTTAAACATCATGAAGGAGGCTCTGGAGATGAAAAGCAAAGCCTGACCCGCGCGAGAGAGGCCGTTCAGAGAGAGTGTGCTGAGGAATGAAATACCTTTCAGTTGGAGAAGGACTACATTAAAAAGGAAAGAGAAACCTTTAACAAAGAACTCAGGGAACCACTTATGGAAAGAAAGGCCTTTCAAGAGGAAAAGGATGCTATGGTTGATGACAGGAGGAAATGGCCATGATGAGGAAGGCCTACATTCATGAAAAGATAGGTATCCAAAGAACTATAAATGCTCTAAAGTTCCAAAAACAAATGACATCAACCAAAAAGGCCACCACAAGCAGTGCGGTCAACATCTCTGAAGAATCCTCCTTCTGCTCCATCTCCATTTGGGTCTGCAAGGACAAACAGGAAAGATGCACGAGGAAACCACCTGAGATATTCATATGGACACTAAAATGTTGTGCATAACTGTGTATGCAATTTATTCCATCTGTGTTTGCATACTTTGAATACATTACATTACATTGCATTTAATACAATTCTGAGCTGTGTTTTCAGCAATGAAGGTGTCTTGTTTGCGTCTAATTAATATGTGTCAGTAAACTAAAGGGACACTGCAGAAAAACCTATTAGAAATCACAACACTCTTTCTTTATGAACATTTATTGAAATGCATGTATATTTCATATAATTATTTTCTAACTGTCACTAATGGAGTTTTCAAAATGTGGCATAATAAATACAGGAAGCAGGCTGTGTATGTGTGTGTGGTGGGGGGGGGGGTATGTGTGTATATGTGTGTATATGTGTGTATATGGGTATATATGGTGTGTGGTGTTAATGTGCACAATAGAAGTATGCTTTTGGATTTTTACTTAAAGGTTTCTGACACATCTGAAATCAACACCTCTTCCGGCTCTGTTAGTCATTTCGGGATGACTTGAAAACATGTCATTATAAAATGGCCAACTTTGCCATAACCCCTTCAACACAAAACTTCCTCTATCTTACTAAAGTAAATAAATAACCCACATTTAATATTAAAATGTTGATTTAAATTAAAATTGGACAATTTAAAATCCACAAATCCTGAAACAATCACAGTCACTATAACAGATACAGTATGTGGTGTGGTGTGTGTGTGCGTGCGTCCGTGAGTGTGTGCGTGAAGTGTGTGTGCGTGTGCTCTTCAATAAGATGTATTGTGCCAAACAGTGATAGATAACACAGCCTGAGGGGGGAGAGCAATGAAATCAAGGACACAAGGGAAACCTTTAGAGAGGAGCCTCCGCTAGTGCAATCATTTGTTCTGTGGCTCATCCATCACTGAGAAAATCTACTTGGTGCAAGTTACATTATAGAAAAAGTCATCTGGGAAGATTACTATGCGGCCTTCACGCTGTACTGTACCCAAGAGGCAACACAGATTACATTAGATGGGCTGATAGTGGAGAGCAGACCCCCGCTGCGTGTTATCATTACCACATGTTGAGTTCTGATTCAACCACAAGTGTCATTTTCAGAATCACTCCTGAGAAATATGTATTTACCAGCTTTTTATTTCATCTTGTTTCTCACTGCACTAAAGTAAGTAAACAAAATGGAGTGTTTGACATGGCTCTTGGTGCCTGGAGGCAATAAGAATCAAGATGTTGTCATTATCCTTAAAAAACTATTTTAGGGGTAACAGCTTTAACACCGTCTCCTGCTAAAATGATCTACTCTATAATTGGCTGCCTCATGTCCTGCTTGTGCCATCTAGTGGTCACAGCTCACTAGATGATGTTCTTACATTATACAAAGGTGTTATATTATTGCATAACCATGCATGACGTGGTAAGTTTAGTGATACATAGACCGAACATCTTTGTTTGGACAGACACATTTTTATATGATGAAAATATTAGATGTCCTATTTGCAAGAGTACACACAAATATGAAGATGTCCCAATACTAGTTTTTAGCCATATTGTGGATTTACAATTGATTTACTCTAACATCTTCGTTATTTCAGGAAGCAGGAAAAAAATCCAAATCTAACATTCACAGAAATCAAACGTTTTTGGCACTTTGGAAAATGTATAAATCTAAGACAAATGATTAATATTATGTGTAGATATGAATAGAGTTACGTCAGATCTTCCACTCATTTAAAGAGGTTAACTTTAGTTCGATATGTAAAAAAGAATATGTATTCTACCATTAAAGACTCTTAACTCTCATGCCTTAGATGAAAAACACTTCTGTTTCTGACTGATAATAATCTCAACTCGATTATTCAAAGAGGGAAATGAGCGACATGTTAACCTTTTTACTTTTGAAGGTCATCTCATTCATCTCCAGAAAAAGCCCTTAGGTGAAAGCCAAGTCTATCATCCACTATATCTTCTATCGACTTCTAAAGCTGAATTATATCCAGTCTGCCTCATACACAGAGGCCACTGTGCCGAACACCATATAGCTATAATGGAATCTGGGTTTAATTATAGCTCAATGAATCATCCTCATTATAGATGCCTCCAAGGCCATGTTCATCTTTTATATTATTTTCTACTATCCTTGTCTCAAACATACTCTATCACTACTTTCACTTACTAAACAATGTTGACATCTTAAACTTCTGTTATTTTTAAATACGTTTCAAATAGATCGTCTCAAACACTTCATGAATGGCGGGCCGATAGAATCCAAGCTCAATTGAAAACTATTATAATGAACTGTTAATCATTATAGGTCCAAACAAACCCAGGGCTTATTATATTTCACTGGATGATCTCACTCTGCTTTGTTTTGTAATTGTGTTTGCTTTGTCCGTGAGGAAATCGAATTCCTAAACAGATGTTCTCATTCTGCATAACCAAATATGTGGAAGATAAATTAAGTCTATACTAATTATAATTATATTAAATAACAAGATTTTTCAATACAAAATGTTAAATCTTCATAAAATATGGAAAAAACACTGATGGAGATTTATTTGAGTGTCCTTCTATTGATTCTCCTCTGGTGTCCTTGCCTCAGTTCATGTTTCTCTGTATGCACAGGCAGCAGAGTTTGGCATTAGATCTTGAGCAGCCTAGTGTAGGAAATGAACTGGTGCCTGTTTCCTTAAACTCTCTTCATCCGCTGTGTTATGAGAAAACCTCTTTACTTCTGAATATACAATAAACAAGATTGGAATTTACACACGGCATCTATTGCACGTCTGTCCGTCCTGGGAGAGGGATCCCTCCTCTGTTGCTCTCCCTGAGGTTTCTCCCATTTTTCCCTTTAAACTGTGGGTTTTCTCTGGAAGTTTTTCCTTGTACGATGTGAGGGTCTAAGGACAGAGGGTGTCGTATTGTCATACTGATATTCTGTACAAACTGTGAAGTCCACTGAGACAAATGTAACATTTGTGATATTGGGCTATATAAATAAACATTGATTGATTGATTGGAAACAGTCTCTTCTTCAGGTAATGATATGCAATGAGTCAGAATGTCAATCTTATCTGATCGCTGACCTATGGGGCCTGCTTCCCTGTAAGAAACGTAACTGATATGCATTACTGATGGAATGTTGGATTACTGGCTTTCTTTTGGTTAAAGGAACAATTTGGGGTACATCATCTCAGAGCTGGTTGGGCAAAGGTTGTAACTTCCAATGAATGTCAGGGTCTAAAATCAGATCGAAGCTCTCCTGTCTCCGTTGGTTCCAATTATTTGCCACAAGAGATTAATCAAAAACTCAAAATAAAAGAGGTGTGTCCTTCTTGTCCAGCATGTGGATTTGGACTGACTTTATAATCATATTATAGAATGTCGGAAATTAAATACTAAAGTATGATGAAAATATCATGGAAAACGTCAAAGAAAGTATTGAAAATATCACGAAAAATGTCATATAATTAGATGTTGTGACAAAATAGTATAATTTGTCGAAAATATCATGAACAAAAAGAATAGTGTAGTACGTCAAAAATATAATAAAAAAAGATTTCGATGCTAACAAAACATTAGGTTTTGTAAGGACACACACACACCAATTATTTGACTCAGCTAGCTTTAATTATGGCACTTTGTACAGGTCATGTTATAAACTCAACATTCTGGGTTTGTCCAGAACATGAAGACATCAAGAGAACATGGCATCTTTCAACAAAACAAAGCATCAAGAAGCTGCTTCATTTTAACCACACAAACAATAGAAATGTCAGTGTAGAATCGTTATTCCATCCTTTAGTCAAGCCACATAGATCATCGGTTTTGTGTCAATAAACCCAATGAAGTAGACTTACATTCTTACAAGTCTATTTTGATATGATACGCACATGTTGATATGTACTTGAAAGGAGCTAATGTTCTTCGTAATCGTCTCTCCTCTCCCTGCGGACTGTAAATATCCTCACCTAAAGTCATTTCAGAAATAATTGCAAAGGGACAAGATCCTTGTTCTGTGAAATTATAACATTTGAAGTTCAGCTGACGCGAAAAGGCTTCAACAGAGAAGAGATCCAGTTAACTTTCCTCTTGTCCATTGCTGAGCTGCATCGAAGGGATAGTAACAAAAAGTGAACGTTTTGTACCAAAAATAATAAATCTGAAAAAAATACATTTGATTTGGCTTACGTATAATAACACAGGGTACTTTTGAACACATTTTTACACAGAACAACACATGTGTAAATGTGCTAGGAAGAGACTAGCAGGTGAAATAACTTTCTACTAGCCACTGTTAATTAATAATGACATCCCATGTATATTGTATATCATCTCAAAGCCAGGCCTTTAATCTGTTCCTGGGTCATTAGTTATTAAACTGTGTCTCTTGAAAAACAGTGATCACATAAGGTTTGGCATGTTTGCTTGATAATTGAATTAAATTAGGATTTAATTAAAGTATCTGCTGATAAAGACAAAGGATTTGCAATCCATGGATATCATGTCATCCTCGCTTTTTTGTTTTTGAAAACAGGAAGTGAATGTGACATCCACACACACACTTTGTGCACGGCATTATTCTACACACAAACGGATGTGGGTTCCCAGGGATCAAAGGTAAACAGGTTGCATTGAAGTGCTACGACATCTTTCGTTGGCACACGAGGAGGTCACATTTACAATATTTACATCTGAGACTGAGGAATCCGTTTTCATGCGTGTCCCATAAACAAAGTGTTCTGTAGAAAATGAAATTCTCACATTCCATTTGGATAATATTGTGTTTCCGTCCATGTGTGGAAATTATATTCAGCGAAAAAACACAGTAGTTTAAAATTACATTAACTTAACTTTATATATCATTTTCTCCTGTTTTTCTGAATGTTTCGTTGTATATAATACTGTACAGGATACATGACAAGTAAGAATTAAGAGGAAGCATTCTGTGATGAATTGAGTTGAATAAACCTAAAAAAAACATGCTACTAAAGGTACTCCAACAAGAGTCACAATAAAGCTGACTGACTGAGCAATCCTCTGAGTGGGACCCCAAACCTGCCACTCTCCGTGACAGCGTGGGGAATTAAAACACTTCTAAAACTACAAACTTGCTTCTTTCCCTTGTCTTTGAAGTAGATCAATCATTTAAAAATAATAAATATGACTTGAAGTGACAGTCAGACTGTGATTTCTGGGCAACGAGAGCTACCTTCTGCTGCAGAATCCCAGACAACGAGGTATTCCTCCGACTCATCCTCTCCTTATTGTGCATTAGTTTGTGGCTGATCCTGCATCAGTCAGAGTTCAACGCCCCCCGGGGCAGGGGAGCAGGTCTTTAGGGGAGGGGTATCGGCTCATTAAGAGAGGACTGGTTCAGGATTTGGTTGATGTGGCTGTGAAGTTCTTCTGGAAGTTAGGTTTAGGTCCGCACCCAGCTGATAGGCACCCAGAAGGACTCTCGCTCCAGCCTCTCCAAGATACCTCTCAGTTCTGCACAGGCACTGGCTGAGTCCTCCTTGATCAGGACCCGGTCCACCAGTTGTCCATACTGCTGATCAATCTGAATGGCAGACTGACGCATCTCTTGGAGGTCTTCATCCTGTTGCAGAAAAACAAGGTAAAAGCTGGTCGTTACAGCCGGTGGCAAAAATAATGTAATTAGATCCTTTAGGGGTCTCAAACTTAAGGCCCCCGGGCAAAATCAAGCCTGCGAATTCATTTTATGCGGCCCGCAAGAGCTATGAAAGAATATAGTATGTTTATTATACGGTTACATGCCGCTTTACAGAAGCATGTTGCCCATTTAATACATGTCCCACAATGCATCTCATTTTGTGACATGCACACTAAAGAGACTTCAAATTATTTCCCCTAGACTTCTGCTTTCTGACGTAGTTAATTATGAAGTTATTACCCTATCTGATTATAATCCAATGCACAGGCAAAAATGTAACATATTACATTATTTATATATTATATATTTATATAGTCTTAAAGTTACAACTGGCCCTTAGTGTGCAACCTTAATGCTAATGTGGCACGCAATGAAATTGAGTTTGACACCCTTGCTTTAGACCCTCCAATAGGTTCCTTTCAAAGGTCAACTGTTACAGTATTGATGATGTGTTTCGCATTATTATCAGTGCTGTGCATATTGCATTTTAATGTTGTAGATGTTTAAGGTTGTGCTAATTATAGCTCCTTTAAATACAGTTGGGACATTTAAATTACAGCAATGTTACAGTAGGAGTCACACTCTTGGCTAATGAATCTGAATCTAAATATAATTGTTGTTACATTAAACAGTACACACTACATACTGGTGTAAAATATATGCTATCGTTCTGAGCCACTGAATGGGGACACAGTTCTGCAGAGAGACATTGCAGGACTCACTGTTACGCGGCCGCGCTCCCCCCCTCCTGGTGAAGTGGCAGCGCTGCGGCGACGTCTGCTCTCCGGAACACGAGGTTTGACAAATATTACATAGGGCTTGAATTCTGCTGTCCGCAGCCTCTTCAGGGCCTGGGGGGATGGAGGGTTTGCATACAATAGAGCACAGAACGGACACAGATCAGACATGATAGGAGAGGGTCAACAGAGAAACCTCACACACTTCACACAGTGAGCAGATCTGATGTGACTGCCTGCATTCTGCAAACTGCTGCTGCCTGCAGGATCTGTAGCGCAGGACATGACATGATACATGTGGATGAAGATTACATACGAAGTGATCAGCTGTTGCAGCATGACCCTTACCTCAGGCTGAACGTCCACCACACACATTTTATTCTTGGCCTGCACAGAGCGGATAGCCTCTATACTGGTGCCATACTGGTTCTCCTTGTATTCCCCATGCTCTATGAACCTGTGGAGAAACAACAAACATTTACATCAGCAGGGAACCAATCGTATATGTTTACGCATACATTATGAAACTTTCATATTTTCTATACTAAGCAGGTTTAAGGTTTATTTTTTTCAGGCCAGAAATAATTTCTCACATGTATGTTTACAAAATACTTAGTAGTATCCTAGAAATTAAGTTGTTCAAGTCCTCTGTTTCAATGTCCCTTTTTTATGGTGCTGATAGCTTAAAAAACTAAACTGAAATATATTTTTAACACATTATTTTTAGCAGTTTCTTTGCTTAGTTCTAGGTTAAATTCAGTATTTCTTAAAGGTTTCATTTTACATCAACAATGTTCTATGTTTAAGTATACGATACACAAAGTGTCGGTGTAAACGTACTTGTTGTTTAAAGCATCTGCATCGAACTGCTGTTTGGTGACGAAGTGGTACTCCACACCCTCCTTCTCATGAGGCTTCTTGGGCCTGGTGGTATCTGTCGGAACACAAAAAGGAATTTACTTGAATGTTTATTGTTGAAGCCATTTTGCATATTTACCTTATTTATATTTATAATGAAATATTATTAATGTTTTGTAAGTGTTATTTTACTATGCAGAGGATGTAATGGATTTGCCTGTGTTTATATTTATTATTGTTATGATTGATGTTGATGATGAATTATAGTGACATTACTTATAGGTGTGTCTCACTATGAGTGGAAGGGCAAATAATGTTCCACCGCAAAGAAACCGCATGGTGATCTCTGCATGATGCAAGTATTACACCGTATGTTTACTATTTTCTCAGTTTTCTTTGAATAAACGGACGACATGGATATTTAATGTGTATGCATGTTGTCATATCATTCATTATACTATGGGTTAATTGATCATTAAGTTTGTGTATAACTCACGTGGTACAGCCACTGCAAAACGATGTGGGTTTTCAGCAATCACCCGCTGTTTGAGTTCATTGATTCGTGCTCCAAGGGATCCTTTGCAAGATTGTGTGTTGAAAGGAAAGAAAATAAACAAAACATTGATTTGACATGGATCATTTTTGTTAAAAAAGTTCCAACAACTAGGTCATCAGTATGCTGTAACACACGCTTTTGTCCACTAGAGGTCCCTGCTGTTACAACAGGACATGTGTGCCTCGGGGTCTCACCGATCAGGACCACCAGACGGGGCCTCTCATTGGGCCTCTGCTGGTAGCGGGAAACCTCTTCATAAGTCGTGTAGTCGCTGTCCCCAAAATCAGAGCCCTCTCCGGAGGAATCTTGCCTGTCCTTACGACTCAGCCGGAAACTCCTCCGTAAACCAGCTGCAGGGAAGCCGGGGAAGGGAGGGAAACAAGGAACAGAAAGAAAAAACAAGTATTTTGTCAGATTTACTATTTACACATGATTAGATAACATCGGTACACAACTTCACTGCCATGGTGCATACATCTTAAAGCTTAGAAAAATGTTATGAGATAAGTGCAACGGGCAAATGCTAAATCAATATTTACAACAAATTCAAGGCCAATCTATTGTGACATCATGCATTAAAAAGACCTTTGAAAATAGTGCAGAGGGATAAAAATAGCTCACTCTTATTTGCAGTGTAAATACTTGATAGTGTGAGATATGAGCTGAACTCAGAGCCATTATTCATGCTTCAAATTGGATTACATGCAGCCGATAGTAAATGCATTAGGTGAAGCTGCTAGGGTGTTACCTTGGTTGTTTATTGGCTAATGGTTACACAAGCCAAAAAATAAGATATGCGAAAGAACTAAGTGTTGTTTCCATAATTCCAAGGTACCACAGGTGAGTATTTGATATACAAATGGTCATTTTGTGGGTTAAGTATTCCTTTAAATTCATTTTACAAAAGGCATACAGTATAAACACCATTACAGCGGTTCAAGTCTGATCTCAGTGACCCGGAATAGACATCATTGTCCAACATAATGGTCCAAACAAGGCATGCTGCTCTGAGCGAGGCTACAGTGCTGAGGCAGGACAGACAGGACAGCCTGGCCCTGAGAAACACCGCGTCAGAGCAGAAAGTGACCAATCAGGGTCTCCCATGGCCAGTACTGTCTGTTTCCCCCACCAGTGGTGTGTACCTGAGGAGGGAATGAGCCGGGCACTGTACCTGAATAAAATTCCCAGGAAAACACCTGGCCACAGGAGGGCGCCACTGCTTTACACTTAGGAGAGACTATAACTGGCGTTAGAGCATCACACAACCCAGCCTCACAGCTCCACACAGGGTGAACGAGCAGCAAACGTGCCAGGTTGAGTGTGAAATGCGTCCAACGCAGCAGGGCCCTTGTGTGTGTGGGAGGGGGGGGGGTTAGCAGGGTCGGTTAGTTTGATGCAGGGCGGGAGGGAAGGGGAGGTTCCAAACACTGCCAGGTGGAGGGGGGTGGGCGGAGGGATGAAGGGGAGGGTTTAAGGGATTTACAGCTCCAAGCAGAGTGCATGATAGGAAGCACACATACCGTTTTAATAATGTATTTTGTTTGGGAGAAGGTGCTGAAAGGTGTGTTTATATCGCTCCTTGTGCTCATCACCATTCCAGCAGCTCACAGGATGTGGGGGAGTAAATGGGGGTCTGAAGAAGGGTGAGGGAGGGACGGCCAGTTGAAGGCAAGAGAGGGGTTGAGGATAAAGTGGATTATTGTACTAGAAAGTGTTCTGTAAAGAGCTGTTATTTGGTCCTAAAGGCTGTTTTAAAACAGGTCTGTTACAACCTTAGTACATTTTCATGTATTCCTATTCTATGTGGGGCCTTACAAAAACACTTTTTATTCTACTAGGTGTTAGGTAGGTGTATCTATTGAACACCGTCATTATACCCTACAAGTAGCACACCAGCACAAAATTATGAAAAGAAATCACTTATTTATAAATGTGACAGTCTAATTTTGATTGCTTTAACACTTTGAGGTGTCCCTGAACCATCTGTTTATGCTATTGATGCAGCCACTTAAGAGGCAGATGTGTTGCTTTAGAGTCTTTCCTCTGCCAAAAGAAATTGAGATATTCATTTTCTCATCCGTCCTCCTTCTCTTGCATTGTCTTCGAACCTGTCTCTTGAACCTTTAAAACCTTCACAACTTCCTCTTATCCCTCAACCCCCGGCCCCAGACAGGTCAACCCTACACAAGCAGTGGTGTTAACCCCCCCGGCCCAGAAGCACCCAGGGAACCAGCACAGCACAGCCAGGCTGCAGCAGGCAAAGAGCTGACAGGGAGAAGGAGGTGGAGAAAGATGTGCACGCTCTCACCTATGTACTGTCCATTGAAATAGCCCTCACAGTCACAGTCCTCTGTAGGGAGGCAAGCAGGGAAAAGAGGGGGTAAGCACAGGGTAAGAGACCTGGAAGAGTTAAGGAGTAGGGGGGAGGTGGAAGAGTTAAAGAGGGGAGCGGGCCATGGAGGCGCTGGGTAGGGCAGGCGGGGCAGACAGGCAGCAAGCAGGCAGACAGCAGGAGGCGAGGGGCGACGGGCAGCCAAGAGACAATGAAGGAACGTCGTTTGAGGCAACGGCCACTAACTAATAAGGGAGGAAGAAAAATACCAGTGGAGAGGAGAGGAGAGGAGAGGAGAGGAGAGGAGGAAAAAGTTGGCTTTCCATCATCTGGAAGCAGCCAGCTGTGTGTGAGCCGAGTCGCTGTGACCCCCAAACACACACACATGTAAATAAACCTCGCCTCCCAAAGATTCACAGCTGACGTACAAACAATCTCACATCGAAAAAACACTACTTGTTGTCTGAATTCTGTCCTTTCAACTCATTTTATGCAATATGCATTGTTTTAGGAAAGAATGAGAAACACAGAAGAACGTTGTAAACAGCAGATTGGGACTGCAGCAGATCAAATAAAGACGAGGAGGAAAACAGAACAAAAGATAATAGGGACAGAGAATGACGCAAAGGAAAAGAGGAGCTATTGTTATCTTTAACAACCTCTGCTTGGTTGGGTTATAGGCTCCTGGGATGCTTTTCTGCCTGCACATCACCTGGTGCCACACACACACACACACACACACACACACACACACACACACACACACACACACACACACACACACACACACACACACACACACACACACACACACACACACACACACACACACTACCACACACACACGCACACGTATACGCACACTAGGCAAGAACATCTATTCTCTATTCTAGTCTGGTGCACTAACAGCAGGAGGGGAGGAATTAAGCTGGAAGCTAAGTACTTCCCAAATGGACCCCTTACTAACACACGTGCAAGTTATCTACACACAAACACACACATTGAGGCTTTGATGCTTCTATGAACATTTCCTTTTGAGTGTTTTGTGTTCAAATGTGTCTTTGTGTTCTCGTCCAATCATATGTGTTGCTGCACAGTTACCCACCTTTATCACATCCTTGCTCATCTGGTAGAGTTTGCAACAAAGAGACACAAAGTGGGACACATAAGAGAAGGTAAAGCTGAAGGTAGCAGATGGAAGAATGAGAATTTGGATATTTATGAAATGAGGATTTTTACTATCGAAGAGATTTATTGTCATTGCGTATGACGACAGAAATGAGGGGAGAGGAGGAGAGGGGCGGGTCACATTTAAAGGGCCCCCCTCAGGGATTTAGGGGAATGAATTAGGGAGCTGTAGGAGCATGAGGGAGGCCGAGAGAGAAGAGTCCCCCAGGCTCGCTGTAGCGTGGCGTAGCAGAGCTAGCTAACACACTGATAAGCTATTGTTCTCTTCCCTTGGCTCAGAGCTAATCGGATCGTTGGTAGCTTACACGCCACGAAGAGCCACCACTCATATTACCCACTCACCTGGCGGTTCACATAAAGTGAGAGCGTTATGTATTGTTGAGGCTTTGTTTCCCACTGGGCGTGATGCCTAACGCTGTCTAGATTATTGTCTTTTATTGTGATTGTATTAATGTGTTTTTATTACATGTACAGCACTTTGGCTCGACCAAAAATCTCTTTTAAATGTGTTTTATCAATAAAACTTGATTTGATTTGTCTGGATCGACTTAAGCTGCTCGCTGGCCAGATGGACGAACATGAAAGAGATGAATTCATAACTGTGTGTGATCTGTCCCTCCGTCTCCGTGCCCCTCCATCTTATTCGCATCCCTTTCAAAAACGTTGTCTACATAGCAATATGGAGAAGACGGTCAATGAATACTAATGCCTCTGAGTATGCCAATTACCAACAGAAAAGGTCAATACATGTCAATGAAGACATTGCTGCATTTATCCAGCGGAGATATCATTGTCCCATGATGACAGTGGCCAAGTACATGAGGAGAGGAGAGGAGAGAGAGGCTGCAGGTAGTACACTACTGTGTTGATGAAATAATGCTGAAGATGCAGTTGAATCCTGAGAAGCAGAAACTTACAGGCAGGCTTTTTAGGGGATTTTGGATTCGGGAGTGTGCCCATTTTCATCCTGTAGGCCAGTCGCCTGGAGAAATGTGCGGCAGAACAGAGAGCCAGAGAGGATGGAGGCAGGAAGAGAGTCATCAGCAAGCAAAAGATGGGGAGGGAATGTTAGAAAGTCGGAACAAAAGATTTCAACATGAAAGAGGAAAATACAACAGAAATGAACAGATCATGAGAGCCCCTGGGCACAAACATGGTAAAGACCCTCTGTCCATCCTCCATAAGAGGAAGGACCCAAACTGAGAGGAACACAAAACAGATTTAGGTCTCTGCCTTCTTTTTTCATCTGTGATTATTTTGGGTCTTTTGGGTCCTAGCCATCTATGTGTTGTCCTTATTACTCCACTTTATGGCTTTGTTAGTTTTCTGTCTCCTTGTTGTGTTTTTGGGTCTCAGTGGTCTTTTTACGTCTCTATGTCCCGTCCGGGTGTTTTTGTTGTCTATACACTGGTTTTGTTTTACTTCGCTTTGACTTCGAGGAGATCATTTTATACTTCACTTCAAGCTGAAGCATTGTTTCGGTTAGGCCTGTTCCGTAATTGATCAATGATGATATCATGTCAGTAAGCAGACCCGAGCATATGCTATTTTTGTTCAATCAAGCTGAAACATTTAAAGACATTTTTCTCAATCACACTTGTTGAACATCTATTTAAACAACAAAACACCCATATACGCTTATCAGAGCCTGGATAGCTCTCTGACCTGTGTCTTTTCTGTGTTTAAGCTGTTGTTATTACTCCAACAGACGCTGAGATCATCTTTCTGACGGATTATGACACTAACAGTATCAGCACGCGCCTATTCAAGGCAGTGATTTGATTTATTTTTTTTCCCGACTGCTTTGATGCTCCATGTAATCATGGTTGACCCTTCAAAGTGGAACACATGAATGTGGATCTGACAGATTACATAACATAAATACCAGCACAGTGTGGGGTCCTGGCACTTATCTATTCATGCCACAGGTCGTTGGGACACATGATGTGACACCCCGCCCTCACCTCTCCTGGAACAGTTTGGAGGGGATGAGTCCAGCCCGCAGGTTGCTGTCTCCCACACGCTTGGCCTGCCACCACGTGTGGTCGTCCTGGGTCACCACCTGCAGGATGTCCCCCCGCTTGAAGGGAAGTCCTGCTTCTTGGCAAGGCGTTGCTTTGTCTTCCAAAGGGATGTAGTCAAACAACGCTCTCATATACACCTGTAATCAAAAACATGAAGCACCAAGTTCAGATGATTCTTTTATTTAGGTAATTAAAAATGAATAAAGCTTTTAACCTGATTAATTGCTTAAAGGTCTCCTAGTATACTATTTTTAGGCATATATTATAGGTCTCAGATATATACAAATATATAAAAAAACATGTCTATGAAGTGTTTTGCTCAAAATACCAAGATCACCCATTCTAGCCCTGCCTCATATCCCTCTATTTCAGCCCTGTGATTAAACGCCATATCATGTTCCAAACCACATCAAGGATTATTTCTGAAACAGTATGGAGCTTAAATCCTTTTCTCTTGCGGGTTTACCACAAGGTGGGTGAGTACTTTTTATTTCCTGCTTTTTTACACATACTCTCCAGTACAGGTTAGCTCTGAGTGTTAGCGATGCTTGTTAATGTAAACAAAGACGATATTACTTCTAAAACACGTCGGGCATTGTTTCTGATAGCAACGTTTCTGATAGGGCCGTGGGCCAGCCCACATTTACGATATTATGTACATTTTTTGTTTTCTGACACTTTGTGAGTGCCCTTACACACCGGGGACACATAATTGTGTATAAAAGACATACACATTTTTGCATGAAAGGAGACCGTTAAATGCGATTTGAACCTTCTGAACATTTCTTTGGAGGCCTGCATTGACATTAAGAGTTTAGAAAATATATGTATTTGTATAAAAATACTTTAAAATTATGTATCTGTAGTGCCACTGAAGAAATGTTATAAAATATCAGATTACAATACATTTTCTCCATTCAAACTGTTTCCTTTCAGCTGCAGCTTCACAGAGCATGCTCGGTCACTCTTCCTCTCACCTTGCTCTCCTTCAGGCGGTCCTCTTCTTTAATGGCGGGGATTATCTTTAGAGTGATGGAGCCCTGGGACTGGGACTAGATCACAAATAGACAGAGGAAGTAGAGGAGGGTGTGACTGAAGCCTGGGATTAAAGACAGACACTAAGTATACTTCACTTAAAAGGCTCCCTGAGGTGGATTAGAATTTTAATGGACTAACAGTGCACCCTGTTTATAAATAAATAAAAGATGATCGGAACATTTTAGGTGAGGATTCACTTTAATCAAGTCTTAAGGTCTTTTTAGTTTATAGTTATACTGTATAGTATTTACCTGTGCTTCCTTCTGGGACAAATAACTTGTTTACAAATATACAATACATGGGCAGAGCATTTTTTAGTTCAGCCTACTTATATATACTAGACATTTCTGATTACAATGACATAATAATAATATAGTTTTTTAATATTTGAAAGTATAGAACTTGTGTAAAAAGTGTTTTTTTGAAGATTTATTTTTGGGTTTAAAATAGGGCTGTCACGATTGGAAAAAGTATTACATTGAACACTAATAGTTATGGTATGGTGATCCAATGTTAATGGCATTAAATACACCAGAAATATCTTGAAAACAACTACTTGGAATTCCAAAAGTCCTGATTTTAATTGTTTTTATGCATGTTGATTTGATTCTGTCCCATATATAATACATAATAATAATAATACAGATAATACAGATAACATTGATTATAATAAAGATAAGTACCAGTATTGTTATCTTTTGAAGATAAAATGGGTTTAAGTGCCCAGTTTAAATTGAAAATAATTGTTTCATTATATTTTATGTTGCCAATCTACAGCAGCCTTTCTTAAAATCTACATCAGAACGTTGGGCCTTACCAGCAGCTGACTGATCTCATCGGGCCTCTTCTGGATGACAGAGACTCCGTTGACCTCCCTGAGTTCATCTCCTACATGCACCAACCCTGTGAGGACGAGGGACCGCATGAAGACAGACTGCACAGACAGACACATCAATGACAACAGAAGAGTCTTCCCTGGGTCTTTGGGGTTTATCACTCGTATCTAAAAATCGTTGTCAGATCCACAGATACGAGCCGCGTCTATCATCAGCTGTGGTCTATTTAGTTCAGCAACAACAATGAAATCAAAGGCTGAGTGAAGTCAGATCAATACGCTTTCCCTTCAGGACAGAGAAGAACATAGAAGACACACTATTGTACAATGAAACTCAAATATAGTTTTCATTTACAAAGAGACCTGAGGCTGATTCTGAAATCACTCTACAGCTTCTGTCTCCACACTGACAAGAGCTGTTCCCATCACTTGACGCAGCAAGAATACAGAGGAAGACATAAATGTATGCAAACACTGATTGGTTCAGTTGTCCATCATGCATATTTCCGTTTCCAATGCCAAACATACACCTTCAGTGTTTCCCCTATATACAAATAGTGGCTGAGCAGCGCCGCTGCTGAAATATGCGCGCTGCTGCAAGGGGGCGCCAGTCAGAAAATGTTTGACCGTTGGCGCTCATCCTAATTTTCGGCCTTGATGTAACAACATTCATAATTAAGTAAACGTAACACCCTTTTCACCCCGGTTACACTTTTCATTTGAACTGTACAATGGGCGCTGTAAGTGATGAAAGTGGGGGATGTTGGCTTATCTGGCGCCCGCAGCTCACAGCGCGAGCGTGGGAGCGAGAGAGCGAGCGACGAGAGAGAGAGAGAGAGAGAGAGAGAGAGCGCACCGGTACCGGCGCTGTTGTTATTGGAATCTGGTGCTAGCTGCGCTAACGGATATAAGAAGTAGATGTTTCTACAACCAGGGTGGAGGAGAGCTCTCCTGTCAGACTGAGAGGCTCAGTGAGGTAAAGGACTCTCCGAGTGTTTAGATAAGTTAATTTCAGTCTAAGTTATCTCTGTGGGTCTCAAACGTTTTGACCACAAATTATGTAAACACATATTTCCAAGGCACTCCTTTATAATTATTAGGATAAATAAAAACAGGTTTGAAATCATTCCAATGTATACTATAGGAGAGTAACCAAAAATATCGTTTAAAGTTGGAGAGATACAAAAATATGCATAAATAAATGTTAACTAGGTAAAATAAGATATGAATGACCAACAAAAATAAAACAAGTTACATTTATGTGTTATTGTTGGCTATGCTAGGTTATTGGTTATGTTCATGAACTTATTTGATTATTAAAATGTAAATCATGTGGGTGTTTTAGAGTTGTACCCCCTAGATCAGGGCCGTTTCTCAATCGCGAGGAAACTGGCTTCCAAGCCAATATTTCAAGGATACTACGTAGTACGTCATCGAGTGCCGCCGAAGGACTGTTCCAATCTCCAGCATACTCGGAATTCCACCGAGGCCACGTCCTTGGTTTGGGGGTAATTTGCTGCACATGGGTAGACTTTGCGTCCTTCAAATCCCCACAATGTTTTGCGCACGGAGCAATTTCAAAAACCCTTGCGGAGAATGGCTGAACCGACGCAGCGCAGCACACATTTAAATGTAAGTACTGTATGTAGTGGCGTAGAACATGTGTTGGTAAATATGTTACTTTGTTGCATTTGTTATCACCAAAAATGTGTTCCATGAAAGTAAAGCAAGTTCATAATTAGATAGACATCGTGAGGTATGTATTTTCGGTACAGTTTATGTTGAAACCGTGAGAGAGAGTGGCACACTTGTTAGCCTGTTCCATTCTTCTTTGTTTTCCGAAGCCGTGGCTTGGAAGTATACTTGCTTCGTTTCTGAAGGAAGTGACTTGGAAGTATGCGACTACCAAGCCA